ATCACAGAATAATAGCAAAAGCGTGTTATACCACACGACAAAAACTAACATAAACTAGTGAACCAATTCAACAAAATACTGAACAAATTTTAGCATTTCAGAAACAATGGACACATATGGATGTCCATCTCGCCACGTCAAGTACTTGTGCTGTTTTTATCAACTTACTCTTATATTCTTACTGTAATTACAAGACCAGGTGGATTAAAACTACATTCATTGGTGGATTTTAACATCAGGTTTTAATTAACCATAATCAATTGAAATCCTGTATGTAACGCAAGCAATTATATCAATGGTAACAGAACAAGAGTGGGTAACAATAAGGTCTCATTTGTCAACATCACTTAATGCAATAACTAAAATTAACTAACAATGGGCAATATATTCTTACAGCATTTACTAAGTTTTGTTAATGATAGTTTACAGTGTGTTAACTACAATGTATCAGCAACAGTGTTTGGAATAACGCCGTTATTTTTTCTGTAACGGGGTAATCTAACTAATTACTTTTTCCGTCGTTACAACGCCGTTAATGTTCCTGGACGTTAAATGCGGTGCGTTACTATGCGTTGATTCATGGGCGTCAGTTTGGTTTGAAATGTGCTGGGGACAGAGACGCATTCGGAAGGGCACTTTCAGAAGCGCTGGGTACAACGACGCAATATACGTAAATATACGGTTAGTAAAAAATATACTAATGTCATAGAACGGATACCTAATACAAATAAATAAAACATATCCAGTTAACTAGCAGAGCATTCATTTAGTTCGCTATTAAATAAGAGATCTAGCGCTTAAATCTGTTGTTTTAGAGATCCAGCTGAGCGCTCGTGCTGCTGCGATCAGTGTCATGGATACAGTTGTGCTCTTGTGGCTCGCGGCGCGCGCAGTCTTCACTCGCTTCAATCTATCGCCGTTGCGGAGACTATTCATTCCGGTGAAATCACAAAATAAAATGCACACAAACGTGTCCCTGCTTGATCTAGATATATAGATACAGCTATATCTAGGAGCTAAAGTTCAATCTTTAAAAGCACTCCATCTTGTTAAACTGTTTACTTTTTTAATGAAGATAAAGAAATACAGCAGCCTATGTCTTCCAGACTATTTATCTCAGGTTGTTAGAGTTTGTTTGATTTATTTAATTTGCTACAGTTACTGCAAACACACTTTATATTATTTAACTGTTTACTTTTGAAGAAAATACTTGAAGTACAGAATGTCTTCCAGACCAGTTGTCTGACATTGGGAGTTTGATTTATTTAATTAAGAATTTGTAGTTTAAAAGTTTACTTTTGTTGTGAACAAAACACTTGGAAGTACAGGTTGTTAACTTGACCAGTTGTCTCAGGTTGAGAGAGTTTGATTTAATTCGCTAGAGTTAAATGCACTTTATACGGTTTAACTGTTTACTTTTCTTACAAAGATAATACTTGAGGTGCAGGATAAACCTCTTGCTGTCTGTCGACGTGTAATAAATATCGAAAGTTACGTACAAACACCTGTCTGTTCTACTCATTTCAACTGACTTGTGAAAACTGCTAAAAAAAAATCCAAATTTTTTGACATATAGCAACTTATAGTTACTTTTATTATAGAGTAATTCATTTACTAACTCAGTTACTTTTTGGAACAAGTAGTGAGTAACTATAACTAATTACTTTTTTAAAGTAACGTTCCCAACACTGATCAGCAAACGTTGAGATTGATATTAATATTATTAAATGCTGTAGAATTATAGTTGTTAATGTTAACCAAGTTTAACAAATGAAAACTTATTGTAAAGTGTTTAATGATATATATATATACACTTATTGAAACTGTTGTGCTTCTATCAAACTGTAAACTGTGGCACTTTCCACTGCAAGCATTACTGTGGTGTCAGTCGTGAAGCGCACACACACACACACACACACACACACACCTTGACTTCAATCTCAGCCGCTGTTCTCTTGGTGATCTCCAGGTTCTCCACCAGCTCGATGTCCCCGAGGAAGTTCCCGGACGCCGAGGACAGGCGTGAGAGCAGGTTGTCCTCCAGAGTTTTCAAAGTGATTTTGAAGCCGTTCTGCTGCTTTGTGAGGTTTGACTACAAAGTAAAAGACACAGAAAGACATGCGAGATGAAAACAAGAGCCACGAGCAGAGCCCGGCACATCAGAGGGCATCTGAGAGATCAATACATGCAGTCGTCTTTGCATGGATTAACAGACTTCCTCTCGCCAAACATCAAAAACCACGAGCGCCCGAGTGTGACGGGACTGTCAATGCTGATGGATCCATTCCTTACGTTTGATAGAGAAACTAATGCAACGAGCGACGACCTGGACTGCAAATCACACACACACACACCGTCATCTCACAAACTCTCATTTTGGACTGTCAAGACACCACACATCCCTGAAGAGGTCAATCTGCACAACACACACCTATAACAGCGTCGCTCGCCGCGGCCACCGGAGCGTTTCTATGGTCTTCTACAAACAACAGCACTAGAGAACGATCACAAGAGCTCGGGTCAAAGATCTGGACCTTGGCGTGCGACGGCTCATCACAGAGGAGGAAAACAGGTTCGGGAAACTAGCCCTTCCTAATGAGTCAGTCATTAATGATTACATTTGCACTGGCATCTTTGTGTCCAATTACCCTGGAGCTGAAAAACAAACAATTAACCAGCAGCTGAGAGCCTTACTGTGAAGAAACCCAGAGCCACAGACAGTGAGTTTGGTTCTCCTGCTCATTAGTGAGAGCGACGCGTCTCTCCCGGGTCACACGGGCATTTACTTCATCTAATGGCCTTGAGATGCGCAGATCTCAATGTGAACGCTGTGATACCATAAACTCACCGCAATTAATAATGGCATTGCGTGATGTAAAACACAAGCAAGGGAATATGAACAAACCCTCTAAAAATCATCTAAATAAAAAGCAGCATCCCTGTGGTGTGGTTGCATAAGATCTAATTATAAAATCCAGTAGAGACTGGACAGAGTGTAACGATAACTCATCTTACTCCACGTTAAGGGACTGTCACACTTTCTACAACTTTCAATATTAATTAAGGCGATAAGAGAGTTCGGCAGCATTTCCCCCATCCTTAGGATCTCAGCTTGGAAACACTAATTAATCAAGCTTCATTAAGTATCATGTCAATTCTAAAGGGTGCACATGTCTCGAAATAACCGCATTCACTCCAGTTATTAAAACACTTCTTTGGTTTGGTGTAATTTGTTCGCAAATAAAAACCCTCAGCTTCACACACACATTTCAGGAGGGCGAAACGAAGTAAAGCTGAAAAAATAAATAAAAGAGGCTTCCTCTAGGGAAAGTGAGAGGATTAATGGGGAAGTTCGAGCCTGTGGCACAAACGCTTGCTTGACCATTACAGCTAATTACTTGCAGTAATGTTATGCTAATATACTAATGCTAATATAATACATTTGCAAATGTGTTACCGATAGTCGAAGCTCTCATTGGTCATTAGCAAAATTTCTCAGGGTACCCGTGTGATAATTATATACATGAAGGTGAAAATAGTGCACCACTAATTAACCTTTTGTAAAGTAAAGGTGAGATCACACAGGCGCTCTCTGGGAAACAGCAAGTGTCATCAAATATTCTGATACGCCTGCAGAACTTCAGCCAATCTAGACCTCAGAAACTGATGAATCCAATTAAGCTCACAATCACCTGTCATATAGCACCTACTTAAAGGGATAGTTCACCCAAAAATGAAATTAGCCCATGATTTACTCGCCCTCATCCTAGGTGTGTATGACACTCTTCTATCAGACGAATACAATCAGAGTTATATTAAAAAATGTCCTGGCTCTTCCAAGCTTTATAATGGCAGTGAATGGCGTTTCTGTTTTGAAGTAAATAAAAGTGCATCTGTCCATCATAAAAGTGCATCTGTCCATCATAAAAGTGCATCAGTCCATCATAAAAGTGCATCTGTCCATCATAAAAGTGCATCAGTCCATCATAAAAGTGCATCTGTCCATCATAAAAGTGCATCTGTCCATCATAAAAGTGCATCTATCCATCATAAAAGTGCATCTGTCCATCATAAAAGTGCATCTGTCCATCATAAAAGTGCATCTGTCCATCATAAAAGTGCATCTGTCCATCATAAAAGTGCATCTGTCCATCATAAAAGTGCATCTGTCCATCATAAAAGTGCATCTATCCATCATAAAAGTGCATCTATCCATCATAAAAGTGCATCTATCCATCATAAAAGTGCATCTGTCCATCATAAAAGTGCATCTATCCATCATAAAAGTGCATCTGTCCATCATAAAAGTGCATCTGTCTATCATAAAAGTGCATCTGTCCATCATAAAAGTGCATCTGTCCATCATAAAAGTGCATCTATCCATCATAAAAGTGCATCTATCCATCATAAAAGTGCATCTGTCCATCATAAAAGTGCATCTGTCCATCATAAAAGTGCATCTGTCCATCATAAAAGTGCATCTGTCCATCATAAAAGTGCATCTATCCATCATAAAAGTGCATCTATCCATCATAAAAGTGCATCTGTCCATCATAAAAGTGCATCTGTCCATCATAAAAGTGCATCTGTCCATCATAAAAGTGCATCTGTCTATCATAAAAGTGCATCTATCCATCATAAAAGTGCATCTATCCATCATAAAAGTGCATCTGTCCATCATAAAAAAGGGCATCTGTCCATCATAAAAGTGCATCTGTCCATCATAAAAGTGCATCTATCCATCATAAAAAGGGCATCTGTCCATCATAAAAGTGCATCTGTCCATCATAAAAGTGCATCTATCCATCATAAAAGTGCATCTGTCAATCATAAAAGTGCATCTGTCCATCATAAAAGTGCATCTATCCATCATAAAAGTGCATCTATCCATCATAAAAGTGCATCTATCCATCATAAAAGTGCATCTATCCATCATAAAAGTGCATCTGTCCATCATAAAAGTGCATCTATCCATCATAAAAGTGCATCTGTCCATCATAAAAGTGCATCTGTCCATCATAAAAGTGCATCTATCCATCATAAAAGTGCATCTATCCATCATAAAAGTGCATCTATCCATCATAAAAGTGCATCTGTCCATCATAAAAGTGCATCTATCCATCATAAAAGTGCATCTATCCATCATAAAAGTGCATCTGTCCATCATAAAAGTGCATCTATCCATCATAAAAGTGCATCTGTCCATCATAAAAGTGCATCTGTCCATCATAAAAGTGCATCTATCCATCAAAAAAGTGCATCTGTCCATCATAAAAGTGCATCTGTCCATCATAAAAGTGCATCTATCCATCAAAAAAGTGCATCTGTCCATCATAAAAGTGCATCTATCCATCATAAAAGTGCATCTGTCCATCATAAAAGTGCATCTATCCATCATAAAAGTGCATCTGTCCATCATAAAAGTGCATCTATCCATCATAAAAGTGCATCTGTCCATCATAAAAGTGCATCTATCCATCATAAAAGTGCATCTATCCATCATAAAAGTGCATCTATCCATCATAAAAGTGCATCTATCCATCATAAAAGTGCATCTGTCCGTCATAAAAGTGCATCTGTCCATCATAAAAGTGCATCTATCCATCATAAAAGTGCATCTGTCCATCATAAAAGTGCATCTATCCATCATAAAAGTGCATCTGTCCATCATAAAAGTGCATCTATCCATCATAAAAGTGCATCTGTCCATCATAAAAGTGCATCTATCCATCATAAAAGTGCATCTATCCATCATAAAAGTGCATCTATCCATCATAAAAGTGCATCTATCCATCATAAAAGTGCATCTGTCCATCATAAAAGTGCATCTGTCCATCATAAAAGTGCATCTGTCCATCATAAAAGTGCATCTATCCATCATAAAAGTGCATCTGTCCATCATAAAAGTGCATCTATCCATCATAAAAGTGCATCTGTCCATCATAAAAGTGCATCTATCCATCATAAAAGTGCATCTATCCATCATAAAAGTGCATCTATCCATCATAAAAGTGCATCTGTCCATCATAAAAGTGCATCTGTCCATCATAAAAGTGCATCTGTCCATCATAAAAGTGCATCTGTCCATCATAAAAGTGCATCTATCCATCATAAAAAGGGCATCTGTCCATCATAAAAGTGCATCTGTCCATCATAAAAGTGCATCTATCCATCATAAAAGTGCATCTGTCCATCATAAAAGTGCATCTGTCCATCATAAAAGTGCATCTATCCATCATAAAAGTGCATCTATCCATCATAAAAGTGCATCTGTCCATCATAAAAGTGCATCTATCCATCATAAAAGTGCATCTGTCCATCATAAAAGTGCATCTGTCCATCATAAAAGTGCATCTATCCATCATAAAAGTGCATCTGTCCATCATAAAAGTGCATCTATCCATCAAAAAAGTGCATCTGTCCATCATAAAAGTGCATCTGTCCATCATAAAAGTGCATCTATCCATCATAAAAGTGCATCTGTCCATCATAAAAGTGCATCTATCCATCATAAAAGTGCATCTGTCCATCATAAAAGTGCATCTATCCATCATAAAAGTGCATCTATCCATCATAAAAGTGCATCTATCCATCATAAAAGTGCATCTGTCCGTCATAAAAGTGCATCTGTCCATCATAAAAGTGCATCTATCCATCATAAAAGTGCATCTGTCCATCATAAAAGTGCATCTATCCATCATAAAAGTGCATCTGTCCATCATAAAAGTGCATCTATCCATCATAAAAGTGCATCTGTCCATCATAAAAGTGCATCTATCCATCATAAAAGTGCATCTATCCATCATAAAAGTGCATCTATCCATCATAAAAGTGCATCTATCCATCATAAAAGTGCATCTGTCCGTCATAAAAGTGCATCTGTCCATCATAAAAGTGCATCTATCCATCATAAAAGTGCATCTATCCATCATAAAAGTGCATCTGTCCATCATAAAAGTGCATCTATCCATCATAAAAGTGCATCTGTCCATCATAAAAGTGCATCTGTCCATCATAAAAGTGCATCTGTCCATCATAAAAGTGCATCTGTCCATCATAAAAGTGCATCTATCCATCATAAAAGTGCATCTGTCCATCATAAAAGTGCATCTATCCATCATAAAAGTGCATCTATCCATCATAAAAGTGCATCTATCCATCATAAAAGTGCATCTATCCATCATAAAAGTGCATCTGTCCATCATAAAAGTGCATCTGTCCATCATAAAAGTGCATCTGTCCATCATAAAAGTGCATCTATCCATCATAAAAGTGCATCTGTCCATCATAAAAGTGCATCTATCCATCATAAAAGTGCATCTGTCCATCATAAAAGTGCATCTATCCATCATAAAAGTGCATCTATCCATCATAAAAGTGCATCTATCCATCATAAAAGTGCATCTGTCCATCATAAAAGTGCATCTGTCCATCATAAAAGTGCATCTGTCCATCATAAAAGTGCATCTGTCCATCATAAAAGTGCATCTATCCATCATAAAAAGGGCATCTGTCCATCATAAAAGTGCATCTGTCCATCATAAAAGTGCATCTATCCATCATAAAAGTGCATCTGTCCATCATAAAAGTGCATCTGTCCATCATAAAAGTGCATCTATCCATCATAAAAGTGCATCTATCCATCATAAAAGTGCATCTGTCCATCATAAAAGTGCATCTATCCATCATAAAAGTGCATCTGTCCATCATAAAAGTGCATCTGTCCATCATAAAAGTGCATCTATCCATCATAATAGTGCATCTGTCCATCATAAAAGTGCATCTATCCATCAAAAAAGTGCATCTGTCCATCATAAAAGTGCATCTATCCATCATAAAAGTGCATCTGTCCATCATAAAAGTGCATCTATCCATCATAAAAGTGCATCTGTCCATCATAAAAGTGCATCTATCCATCATAAAAGTGCATCTGTCCATCATAAAAGTGCATCTATCCATCATAAAAGTGCATCTATCCATCATAAAAGTGCATCTATCCATCATAAAAGTGCATCTGTCCGTCATAAAAGTGCATCTGTCCATCATAAAAGTGCATCTATCCATCATAAAAGTGCATCTGTCCATCATAAAAGTGCATCTATCCATCATAAAAGTGCATCTATCCATCATAAAAGTGCATCTATCCATCATAAAAGTGCATCTATCCATCATAAAAGTGCATCTGTCCGTCATAAAAGTGCATCTGTCCATCATAAAAGTGCATCTATCCATCATAAAAGTGCATCTATCCATCATAAAAGTGCATCTGTCCATCATAAAAGTGCATCTGTCCATCATAAAAGTGCATCTGTCCATCATAAAAGTGCATCTATCCATCATAAAAGTGCATCTGTCCATCATAAAAGTGCATCTGTCCATCATAAAAGTGCATCTATCCATCATAAAAGTGCATCTATCCATCATAAAAGTGCATCTATCCATCATAAAAGTGCATCTGTCCGTCATAAAAGTGCATCTGTCCATCATAAAAGTGCATCTATCCATCATAAAAGTGCATCTATCCATCATAAAAGTGCATCTGTCCATCATAAAAGTGCATCTATCCATCATAAAAGTGCATCTGTCCATCATAAAAGTGCATCTATCCATCATAAAAGTGCATCTATCCATCATAAAAGTGCATCTATCCATCATAAAAGTGCATCTATCCATCATAAAAGTGCATCTGTCCGTCATAAAAGTGCATCTGTCCATCATAAAAGTGCATCTATCCATCATAAAAGTGCATCTATCCATCATAAAAGTGCATCTGTCCATCATAAAAGTGCATCTATCCATCATAAAAGTGCATCTGTCCATCATAAAAGTGCATCTGTCCATCATAAAAGTGCATCTGTCCATCATAAAAGTGCATCTATTCATCATAAAAGTGCATCTGTCCATCATAAAAGTGCATCTGTCCATCATAAAAGTGCATCTGTCCATCATAAAAGTGCATCTATTCATCATAAAAGTGCATCTGTCCATCATAAAAGTGCATCTGTCCATCATAAAAGTGCATCTGTCCATCATAAAAGTGCATCTGTCCATCATAAAAGTGCATCTGTCCATCATAAAAGTGCATCTGTCCATCATAAAAGTGCATCTATCCATCATAAAAGTGCATCTGTCCATCATAAAAGTGTATCTGTCCATCATAAAAGTGCATCTGTCCATCATAAAAGTGCATCTGTCCATCATAAAAGTGCATCTGTCTATCATAAAAGTGTATCTGTCCATCATAAAAGTGCATCTGTCCATCATAAAAGTGTATCTGTCCATCATAAAAGTGCATCTGTCCATCATAAAAGTGCATCTGTCCATCATAAAAGTGCATCTATCCATCATAAAAGTGCATCTGTCCATCATAAAAGTGCATCTGTCCATCATAAAAGTGCATCTGTCTATCATAAAAGTGTATCTGTCCATCATAAAAGTGCATCTGTCCATCATAAAAGTGTATCTGTCCATCATAAAAGTGCATCTGTCTATCATAAAAGTGTATCTGTCCATCATAAAAGTGCATCTGTCCATCATAAAAGTGTATCTGTCCATCATAAAAGTGCATCTGTCCATCATAAAAGTGTATCTGTCCATCATAAAAGTGCATCTGTCTATCATAAAAGTGTATCTGTCCATCATAAAAGTGCATCTGTCCATCATAAAAGTGTATCTGTCCATCATAAAAGTGCATCTGTCCATCATAAAAGTGCATCATTTATCATTTAACATGTTACAAAGTAAAATTCTAGCTTCCGGACAAACGAACATACGCGGTCTCTACTTACGCCTAAAGCGCAACTTACACAACTCATGACGTCAGAAGTAGAGTAAATATCAGCAGTGCGTCGCATTACTCTGACTGTGTTCGTCTGACAGAAGAGTGTCATACACACCGAGGATGAGTTAGGGAGAGTAAATCACGGGCTAATGTTCATGTTAGTGTGAGCTAAGGCTGTGCTGTGAGCGCGATCACCTTGAGCTCCTCCAGGTCCGGTCTCTCCATGCTGACCACGGCTGCCAGGAGCTGGTCCTCCAGCCCGTCCCGGGTCACGGTGAAGTTCACCAGCGTACACTGAGCCTGCAGCTCCGGCTGGTAGTGAGGGTTCGCCAGCTTCGTGTGAAGGATCAGCCGGAAACTGGGGTTGTACTCGCACTCCTTGTCGCCAATCTTTATGTAGCTGTAGCAGATTAAACGCGAGTTAGCTCATTATTCACTGCAGGAGCCATAATGATGTTCCACATCTGGAGGACTTTCTTTCTTTCATGCAACATCAAAGAAGAAGAAAGTTAGACACTGTCAAACTCAAACATATGGAGCACAATATCTCTTTTGTGTTTAAAAAAACACACACAAAAAAACATCATACAGGTTTGGACAGCCGTGACGTGAATAAACAACACAATAATCATTTTAAACAGCACCACTAATAAAGCTTTTAAGGCGAGACGCTACAGGCACGGGTGATCTGTCACGCACTGCTCAGTTCCAGCTCTATTTCACTTCTTCTTTCAGACCAGTGGAAAGAAATCATCCAAAAGACACATTTAAGTGTTTCTTTTATTGCACTTTTTCTCTTAGCGTCTGTGATTGCAAACTCAATCCACATCTTTTCAGGCGGTGAGTTTGAGTCATAAATCTCCACTTCAGCAGCTTCACACACACACACACACACACACACACACACACACACACACACACACACACACACACACACACACACACACACACACACACACACACACTCATTCATATCTATATTCTGAAGGGTTGCTCTTATGATCATTGGCCTGATTTATACAACATTTCATTCCTAAAAAACATGGTGGAAATGTATTTGTTTTGTGTCTGCTGACAGTATTATCTGATTTATGGAGTGATAAAAAGAGAAACCCCTTTTGTAAAAACCTTTAACTGTAATATGTCCACAATATCAAACCAGAATTATGAACCTGGGCCGGATTCACAAAAATCTTCTTAAGAAAGAAGTTAAGAAAATTCTTAAGAAGATTTTTAGGGAATACTAAATATTCGTATCTTTTTTCTTAAGTTAGAGAATAAGACATTGGCAGTTAGGAAGACGTTTATTCTTAAGAATGTTTTGTGAATCCGGCCCTGGCTTTATCCAATCAGATGTATGTGCTTTAGTGACTAATAAATGGACTGCATTTATATAGCGCTTTCACAGACCAAATGGCCACCAAAGCGCTTTACATTTGCCTCACATTCACCCATTCACACACACTCACTCACACACTCACTCACACACTCACTCACTCACTCACTCACACACACACTCATACACCGACGGGCGACGGCAGCCATGCAAGGCCATCCAGCTCGTCGGGAGCAGCTGGGGTTAGGTGTCTCACACACACACACGTAATAAAACGTTGTTTTATTACGTGTGTTGGCAGTAATAAAACCTCTCATTAAGAAACCACAACTAGATCCAAATAACCTAGCAAATTACAGACCCATTTCAAATCTTCCATTTATGTCCAAAATACTAGAAAAAGTTGTATCCGCTCAACTGTGCTCTTTTTTGCAAGAAAATGATATCTATGAAAAATTCCAGTCAGGATTCAGACCGCATCATAGTACAGAAACTGCGCTAGTTAAAATTACAAATGATCTACTCTTAGCTTCTGACCAAGGCTGTATCTCAATACTAGTCCTACTTGATCTTAGCGCCGCGTTCGACACTATAGATCATAAAATACTCTTGGATCGACTACAAAACTACACTGGTGTTCAGGGACAGGCATTAAGCTGGTTTAGATCGTACTTATCTGACCGTTATCATTTTGTCTCTTTACACGGGGGAAAATCAAAGTTAACGTCAGTAGACTACGGAGTACCGCAAGGATCGGTGCTAGGCCCTCTGCTATTCTCAATATATATGCTGCCACTTGGTAATATTATAAGAAAACATGGAATTAATTTCCACTGTTATGCTGACGACACTCAATTATATATTTCATCACGACCAGATGAAAACATTACCTCATCTAAATTGACAGAATGTCTCAAAGATATAAATTGCTGGATGACGCGTAATTTCCTGCTATTAAATTCAGATAAAACGGAGGTATTACTTATTGGTCCAAAAAACTACACACACAACCTCTTACAATACGACTTTAATATAGAAGGATGCCCTGTTACTTTTTCCACTACAGTAAAAGACCTGGGTGTTATACTAGACCGCAACTTGTCTTTCGAAAATCATATTTCATCTGTTACAAGAACAGCCTTTTTCCACCTTAGAAACATTGCTAAATTACGTAACATGCTATCTGTTTCTGATGCAGAAAAGTTAGTTCATGCATTCATGACCTCGAGACTAGATTACTGTAATGCTTTATTAGCTGGTTGTCCTGCATCCTCAATAAACAAGCTACAGTTAGTGCAAAATGCAGCCGCTAGAGTTCTTACTAGGTCAAGAAAATATGATCATATAACACCGATTTTATCATCTCTGCACTGGTTACCTATTAAGTTCCGTATCAATTACAAAGTACTACTACTGACCTATAAAGCCCTTAAGGGTTTAGCTCCTGTGTACTTAACGGACCTTCTTTCGCCCTACAATCCACCGCGTTCTCTAAGATCACTAAATTCAAGGCTTCTGGTCATTCCTAGGATATCGAAGTCCACGAAAGGAGGGAGGGCATTCTCGCATTTAGCTCCAAAACTCTGGAATAGCCTTCCCGATACGGTCCGATGCTCTGACTCGCTGACACAGTTTAAAACTAGACTAAAGACGTGTCTCTTTAGTCAAGCATTCACATAATGCTTACCTTTTAGTCCTCTGCTATGCCATACGGAACCGTTTGCCACTGAAACTGCTTAACGCACCAGTGGGGCTCGACAGCCTTATAGACAAACGGGTCGGTCCGTATGGTTGCGGTTGGGTTGCGGAGAGTTTGGGTTACGGAGAGTTGTGAGATTATGGTTTTCTAACACCTACTCCCGTGTAATGGAAATCATTATGAACATCAGCTATGCTAATTATTTCCCATCTGCCTTTCTGCTGTTATCTCGGGACGCTTGTCCCGAGAAAAATGGCGTTCGTAGGCTCCAGTTTGGTATCCTGCCTCTCACGGGGATTTCGGATGCCTCAACGCCTGTGATGAGAAGACCAACGCCTGTGAAGAGACGACTCAACGCCTGTGAAGAGACGACTCAACGCCTGTGATGAGAAGACCAACGCCTGTGATGAGACGACTCAACGCCTGTGAAGAGACGACTCAACGCCTGTGATGAGAAGACCAACGCCTGTGAAGAGACGACTCAACGCCTGTGATGAGAAGACCAACGCCTGTGAAGAGACGACTCAACGCCTGTGAAGAGACGACTCAACGCCTGTGATGAGAAGACCAACGCCTGTGAAGAGACGACTCAACGCCTGTGAAGAGACGACTCAACGCCTGTGAAGAGACGACTCAACGCCTGTGATGAGAAGACCAACGCCTGTGAAGAGACGACTCAACGCCTGTGAAGAGACGACTCAACGCCTGTGATGAGAAGACCAACGCCTGTGAAGAGACGACTCAACGCCTGTGATGAGAAGACCAACGCCTGTGATGAGAAGACCAACGCCTGTGATGAGACGACTCAACGCCTGTGAAGAGACGACTCAACGCCTGTGAAGAGACGACTCAACGCCTGTGATGAGAAGACCAACGCCTGTGAAGAGACGACTCAACGCCTGTGAAGAGACGACTCAACGCCTGTGATGAGAAGACCAACGCCTGTGATGAGACGACTCAACGCCTGTGAAGAGACGACTCAACGCCTGTGATGAGAAGACCAACGCCTGTGAAGAGACGACTCAACGCCTGTGATGAGAAGACCAACGCCTGTGAAGAGACGACTCAACGCCTGTGAAGAGACGACTCAACGCCTGTGATGAGAAGACCAACGCCTGTGAAGAGACGACTCAACGCCTGTGAAGAGACGACTCAACGCCTGTGAAGAGACGACTCAACGCCTGTGATGAGAAGACCAACGCCTGTGAAGAGACGACTCAACGCCTGTGAAGAGACGACTCAACGCCTGTGATGAGAAGACCAACGCCTGTGAAGAGACGACTCAACGCCTGTGATGAGAAGACCAACGCCTGTGATGAGAAGACCAACGCCTGTGATGAGACGACTCAACGCCTGTGAAGAGACGACTCAACGCCTGTGAAGAGACGACTCAACGCCTGTGATGAGAAGACCAACGCCTGTGAAGAGACGACTCAACGCCTGTGAAGAGACGACTCAACGCCTGTGATGAGAAGACCAACGCCTGTGAAGAGACGACTCAACGCCTGTGATGAGACGACTCAACGCCTGTGATGAGAAGACCAACGCCTGTGAAGAGACGACTCAACGCCTGTGATGAGAAGACCAACGCCTGTGAAGAGACGACTCAACGCCTGTGAAGAGACGACTCAACGCCTGTGATGAGAAGACCAACGCCTGTGAAGAGACGACTCAACGCCTGTGATGAGACGACTCAACGCCTGTGATGAGAAGACCAACGCCTGTGAAGAGACGACTCAACGCCTGTGATGAGAAGACCAACGCCTGTGAAGAGACGACTCAACGCCTGTGAAGAGACGACTCAACGCCTGTGATGAGAAGACCAACGCCTGTGAAGAGACGACTCAACGCCTGTGATGAGAAGACCAACGCCTGTGAAGAGACGACTCAACGCCTGTGAAGAGACGACTCAACGCCTGTGATGAGAAGACCAACGCCTGTGAAGAGACGACTCAACGCCTGTGATGAGACGACTCAACGCCTGTGATGAGAAGACCAACGCCTGTGAAGAGACGACTCAACGCCTGTGATGAGAAGACCAACGCCTGTGAAGAGACGACTCAACGCCTGTGAAGAGACGACTCAACGCCTGTGATGAGAAGACCAACGCCTGTGAAGAGACGACTCAACGCCTGTGATGAGACGACTCAACGCCTGTGATGAGAAGACCAACGCCTGTGAAGAGACGACTCAACGCCTGTGATGAGAAGACCAACGCCTGTGAAGAGACGACTCAACGCCTGTGAAGAGACGACTCAACGCCTGTGATGAGAAGACCAACGCCTGTGAAGAGACGACTCAACGCCTGTGATGAGAAGACCAACGCCTGTGAAGAGACGACTCAACGCCTGTGATGAGAAGACCA